CACAAACAGAAAAATTTTAAGTTCGCTTTTAAAAGCGATGCGCAACCACATCGGCCAGCTGACAACTTCAATATTCAACCACATGCACGCAAATACTCTGATTAAGTATAAGATAGCTTAACTGAAAATCAGTTTCATCGGCGAATGCCTCCGAGGCACTAGCAGGTGTTGGAGTTGGTCCATTTCGAAAATCACGTGTTGTAATAATTTTCATGGAATCAGGTAAAACTGATGTTTTCAGCAGACGGGCTTCAATGTCACTCGCTTTTTCGCGATACTGGGCCTCAATTCCTTGTGAAGAGGATACAGCTGGAGCAGCATACGGACCTAAAAAATATCTGTTTCTATTTTTATAGATCAGTAAAATTTTATTACAGAATATGTCACTCACGACAATCTAATGGCGAATAAACGTAACAGAATAATTTGGCGCACAAGGAAGCTGACAGATGCTTAAAAAATTGTCAGCATCAATTTCCACATGCTTGTCGGTGAGATATAAGAGGCACTAAAAATTAGTTTCACGAGTTATCATCCGCACACTGTAGTGGGCAAGGCTCGCAAAATTTCAGCTTTTGATTAATTTGGTTGCTGAATTAAGAAGCTACCAGTGTCAACTTTTCGTGTGTCTTTACGTGAAATATGGGAGCACCTGATGTCTGATTTCATTCACACTTATCCACACGTGGGCAACAGAAATCCTCGTAAAATCACAGCATTCTCTCTAGTTTAGCTCATGAGTTGACACAGCGTTCACAGTGTTTCAGTTTATTTCAGTGTGTCAATATTCTTTTAGTCGCATATGGGCAAGAAACATCATTTCTAGCTCGTCCGGTTCTAGAAATCATTTCCCCGTCAAAATATTTTGACGTGCACGTAAGTGGGAGCTAATTGTGCATGAACATTCACTGAATGCGTTTGGATCCTTCATGTGGGTGAATTAATTTGCCAAAAACTCAGCTTTGTAGCCTTCGCGGATTTAAAAATCGAAGTATGCAGGGAAATGCGCATACATAAACAAACAAATTTTCACAATATGAGTTTCTGCATTCATAGATACAAAAAGTGTTCAAGGAATGTCTATGCTCCGATATATGTTGAACTTTTGAATGGGTGATTACACATTCAAAAGTTTTATGGCTCTGGAGTTGATTTATTCAGAGAAAACGAAGATACATGCAAAGATGCATAGATACACATATACATGCTTACGCAGATATATACGCAGATACATACATGCTTACATACATATGTACATATATACGTATGTATATACATTCCACACATACATGGATTCAGACGTACATGCGTACATACACAAACAAACAAAGTCTGCTTAGATTAATTTGTGCAAAGATAAAATCACAGCAATTAAAATTTCTGGAGCAAAACAAACCCGTTTTATGGGAAACGCCAGCAGCTTGATGGCATAACGTGCGGTAGCTTGGCCTTTGAACAAATGCACTGTGACTAGCTAACTCCTCAAACGGACTTGCAGATCTTCTTTCACAACGACGAGCAAGTTGCAAATTATTGAATGCCGTTTCTTCAACTTTTCTTTCAGCATTTTTTCGAACCTGCAAAAGTTCTAGCAAACTAGTTTGAGCCCGACGTAAAAGTTCCAGGATTTCAGTAAACCAGGCCAAACTACTGAAGCAGAGAGATTTATGCTACCTGTTACCTAAGTGAAGACTGCTTATACTATCATCACTATGGATGGAATGATTTTTGAGCTAGAAGGTAGTCGGAATAAAGAAAGAATAGGGGATGGAGGAGAATGTGTAAAGAAAGCGAAAAGCATGGGATGTCCGGTACAGGGTTGAAGACGGGAAGGAAGCGGGAGAAGGAAACATAAAATTGAACGTTGTGAATAATTATTACAACCGTTGTGCGCTTTACCCAACGCGAATAGATAAAAGATACAAAGGCTGTGAAAAGAGATAGTAAAAATTTTAGTACTGAGAAAGGAGAAAAGAATACCGTATGATAGGAATCCTTAATTGAATCTTGCCACAGCTTCCATGCGGGTTTTCTTTCCTCAGTTAGCGCATCGTCAAAATCAATTCGTTTGAACGAAGGCATGTGCAAAGGATATCGGCTACTATAACCACAGCTTCATTATTCTGCCATTAAATCTTTTTATTCTTAATTTGCGACTAGTCAGAACGAATGATGACTCATTCTGTAGTGCGACTGGAACTGTTTTACTTTTTGGGAAACGTCTGCAATTTGTTGATGCCCATCATGCACCGATTTATTGCTCATTGCGCCGCAGCTAACTTGTCCTCAGCAAGGTTATGTGAGGTGCATCGAATTCACAAAACAGAACCGGTTACATGATGTATAATAAGTGTTTTCATCATAAACAATGTTAGCTGTAACTGGAGAGGGCTTGTAAATTGCTTGCCGAAGATAAGCAGTGTGTGAGCTTAATAGGCTGATACCCGACCTCATGCCATATCAAAGATAATACACATTCTTCATTCTCTCACTTTTTTTTCGAGTATAGGTGACTGTGCGGCTCTTAGAGGAGCTCTACAGCGACTGTTAGTTTATTGTGACGAGCACAGGGCGTGTGCAAAGAAGCATGCGAATATTCGGTCGCAAAGTCATTTTACCGCTTTAACAGTCAGCAAGTTTTCTTCTGTGACGCAGACAAAGGTGTTCGTGAAACAGATGTCGCCTTATTTCAATCTTCGCAAACATTTGCGTAGCAAAAGTATATCGCTTCAACTTACGCTGTTTATTCATACCTTGTCTGATTCGAATAAAAAAACAAGAGTGTTGGGACGCAAAACTTTTGGGGAACAATGTTTGCTACCACAGACATAAATATGAATCTGCAGTTAGTTTTCTGGTCACTGTTTTCCGGCCTATATATAGCCTTTCACCCAAACTCAGGTTAACTGTACAACTCGAAAACAAAGAAATTTACAGATGATGATCCATTAGATAATTTGAGCAAGCAGTTTATGCGCCCTACTATAACTTGATCTCTTGTCTTTAGCTCAAATTCTAAAAAGGGCTAGTCAAAGTGGAAATTTGCTGTTTTAATGCATCACTTAAGGCAGGACGAATAAACCAAATCAAGTTTTCCAACCCCACTGCCACCCAGCTGCAACCGCGCTTCCAAATGCATGCTGAGATTAAAATCTCAGGACAGACGAAGCCGCAGGTTCGAAACTGCAACGCTCTTGATTCCCTGAATCAGTTAAAGATTACTAGTAAATGCTTTTGGCTTAGTCACCACCAGATGCTAGATCACTTTTTTTGGGAATTAGTTAAG